CAGTCCCGGTGGAATCCATTTCAAACAGCAGCTTGGTCAGCATCTCCTCCAGAAGCCGGTAGGATTTATCTGTCTTTTTTCCTATGAATTCATCCACCTCTTGCTCCAGCTGGTCCGCCTCCCCCATGATGCGCAGGATTCGCTGAATCTCGGGCTGGGTGGCTGCAGAGTTTGCCGGAGGCTGGGCAGCAGGTTTCAAGGCAGCCTCCCGGCTCCCAGCCCCAGGCTTCCGCGAGGCAGCGTCGTACAGGTGGGGCTGGGCGCTGTACTGCACCTTGGGGGTGGAGGGGGGCGGCTTGTGCTCGTTCATGTGTGCAGCGTGCTGGTGATGGACATCGGAATAGTAGCTGTGCTGGTTTGCGCTTTGATCACGTTGGTCGTAAGCAGCATCCTACAGCCAGAAGGGAAAAAAAAAAAAAAAATCTTTAAGTGCATTTCCCTTAACGCCAGCTTTTTACCCATGCACTCAAAAGGCAGACGAGCAGGCTGGGGGAGCGGGGTGGCAGGTGACACTATGACTGCTTTGGGGAGTTGCAGGCTGGGTGAGGTGCGATGTTCACAGGGATCTCGGCAGCGTTTTGGAGACTGTCACACACCATGATGTCATAACACATCACGTCCCTGTGGGCTGGTTTCTGCGAGAAGTCCCAAAGAGGGACGCGGGACCCCGCTCCTGTCCCTGGCCGCTGAGGAAGAGGCAGCATGAGCCACCAAACGCTCGTTACCCATGAATGGGGAGATGCTAAATAGATTCCAGCACGGTCCCACCTGGATATTATTCTGGAGAAGACACCTCCCTGCAGGTGGCACACCTTGAACCCCTCCCAAATCACAGCAGCCCCCACCCCGAATCCACGTCCCCATCAGGGCTCCTGCCTGGGACCAAACCTCGGCTCCTGATAGAACCCAGAGGAAGCAGAGATGAACAGACCCCACCAAAGCCATAATTTCCTTTGATTTTTTTGCTTAAACATTCCTCAGACGAGGACGGCTGTGCCCAGACCGAGCACTTGTAGAGGAACCCTG